GATCGCTACAGTCTTATATGCGTTTGTACCATATGAACATGCCCAGACATGTATTGTAACGATCGTTCTGTAGTATTCAGATCGGGAATATTAATTCACGTGTGATTATTCATTCTTTATCAAACAAAGTAAGCCTATTTTATTTATATTTGTGTTTACAGTGATCGCTACAGTGTTATAGGCGTTTGTACCATATGAACATGCCCAGACATGTCCTGTAACGATCGTTCTGTAGTATTCAGATTGGGAATATTACTTAACGGGTAATTATTAATTCTTTATCAAGATGTAAATCAGTGTTATGATGTCTTAATGACGTGATGTTGTTCTGTTAAGCTGCTAAAATACAAAACGAGTGAGTTTTGTTCTGTTTATGCAAATGTTACTCATATGCGCCACAATTCTATCCATGGGAGCTTTATGTTCATAGGAACAAATGAGCACTCATGACTTGTAGTTTTCTATGAAATACCTTGTCTCCCTTGTAAGGTCTCTGTCTTGTGAAACAGACCCCCATAAGCTGTGGATTCACCACGTGAATTATGAAACAGAAATATTACAGAAGGATCTAAAGATCTCCCCCTTATCAGACATCATGAGGTTTGCTAATCACCCCCAGCACATGACTCCAATATTCGGGGGCAATTTCCTGTCAGCCTTGTCTCATCTACTCAGAGGAGTGATGACGAACTAATCCATTCAGGAGATAACACAGAGATCTTTTGTATCAGGACTGAAAAGCTCTTTCACGACATATGGGACTTTGTAGAAAACGAAGCGTTTGAGAGAGGCGGGGCATAGAGGACCTACAATAATGTACAGTATTTGAAAAAGAATGTGTTTTTTGAACATTAAAGCATGTCAACATATTCTGTTACACCAAATACACAAAATAATGATCTTTAAAAAAGCATCATATGACCCCTTTAAAGTATCGGAGCAATATACTCCCAAATAATAGGCTTTCTGTTTGATGTGTTTATTGTAACCTATGAAGTTTAATCGATGTTTTATAACCCCTTTTAATAGATAAAGTGATTAAAGGTACTCTGTGTATGCCAGATATGCGAAGTTTGGGCTTGTGGGAATGGTCATGATATTTGAATAACCTTGGTATGAATGAAAATGTGTTATTTTGAACAGTGTGTGTTGTACGACACTTTATACGAAGTTATAAAAACTTGCAGGAATACTCCCCACGGGAAGCATGTGATTCATGCATGATAAAGGAACAGTATGGGGTCGTGGCTAAGCCCCACATCCACTATCTGATTGGAACAACGACCTGTGGGATGGATCAAATCGGGCTTGCTTAAAAACCCAATGCCTGAACAGATGCTCGCCTGCTCTCTCTCTAGAACTGTGGCTTTTCGCCGTGGCGACCGCGCGACAAAGCGCTCCCATGCCGTAACATCACGAGCGAGACTCCAAAACTCAAACACTTCAGTTGAAACTTCATGACCGCCAGAGATCTTCAAAAGCCTCAAGTCTTGCAAACTTAAACTTTCTCAGAAGAACTGCTAAAGCCTCTGTGTCACCAGGCAACCAACCAATCACCACTGAGGGCATTCCCAGAAACTATGTCATCCAGACGCCCGACCATCAACCAATCAAAAGCCGGGATTCCCTCAAGCAGCCAACCAGGAAGCTTCTCAGCAAACGCAAGTAACAGGCAAAATCTTTTCATCTCTTGCTGAACTGTGAATTGAGTTATAGCAGTAAACGTAAGATAAATCTCTGCTTTGTGATTCTCTCAGGTTGCAATTTAAAGAACTCGTAGGAAAACGAGTGTTAGAACTTTGGAAACTTCATGCAACTCCGTTAACTCATTTTCCTGAACCTTTGTGTGTATGTGTGTGTGTGTTTTAGCTTAGTTTAATGTAATCTAGAATAGCCAATAAATTCTGGTTTAATTTATAAAGAAGTGTTGTCTGGTGTCGTGAAATTTTGTAAAGTTAAAACTCTGCCAAAATCACGTTACCTAGCTCGTAGCTTATAACTTATCAAATGCACGTATTAACCCATGGCCAGGGAAAATACAAATATTCAAATTGTTAATATACACGGACGTTAACGTCTCGCTGGACGAGTCGTTGATACAGTGTACACTATCAAATTTGAAATCAGTTCTAATCAGGTCTTTTGAATAATTAATTTCATTGTAAAATTCAATGAGTTAAATTCCTTACACCCTTCATTTAACTGTATGTTCAGTAGAGAAATACCAATTATGTGAATTATGAATGCTTTGGTTTCATTATGAAACAGTAAATGTTACTATTGTTTATCTATATCTGTATTTATTTTTGCCGACTATCTACACCTTTGATTGTACCTCTGTGGCCCTTCCTTTTCTCTACTAATACACCATTGAAAGCTAATAACCTGTCTCCTCATTATTGGTGCTCTGTCCGGCACCCAGGGGGGTTTACTCATCCATTACCTGATAAGAACCTAACAGTCCCAAAGTCTCTCCAACATATATTTCTAGAAACTGAACAAATATAACTACATGTTCCAGATTTGTTTAAGTCATGCTACAGATAAATTACCCTACAAGGAAAACAATAAATTAGTCTCTGGAGCATTCGTCATGTTCAGTTGGTTTCACTTTACAAATAATACAAATAATACTCTCATCTGAAGCAAAAAAATATATAAAATCTGTAACGTAGTTATATTTCTAGAAGAAAAACTACAGTGCCTAAACTAATATAACTACATGTTCCAGAACGAACTAACTAGCAAATAATACTCTCATCTGAAGCCTTGGACTTGAACATGGTGGGAAAAACGCTTAACACTTTCTCTTTCACAAGGCTGAACTTTATCTCTCTGGTTTTGAATTTCCTTCCTTATGTTTCCCGTTCTGTCTTACACAAGCCCCTGTTGAATTAAAGGGTATTTTATTGCATTCCGAGAGAGGAAGTCCATGTAGAGATGACGAGACTTTTCACTCTCCACTATAGAAAAGCACTTGTGGTTTAATGTCCACCAACCATGTTGCCCACCAGCCTCCTGTATTTCATCTATTGAACAGCAGAGGGCAATACGAAACACATGCATGTTCACTTAAAACCGATCCACCCCCACAAAGTCTGCACTGTAATGAATGAGAATGCAAAACCTCATTCCATCTGATTCATATCCAGACAGGTGACGTTAAACTAGAACAAATGTAGGTGTATATAAGAAGACCGAGTGAAGACATGCTGTGGCATACTTCGCATTTACCAGAACAGAACATTTATTTCAACTGAAAACATTCTAACCATTTGTCCTTAAATAACCTCAAATGAAAAAGGAAATGTAGCCTCAGTCTTGGCATGACTGAAAGAAATGTCGTCATCACTAAAACAAACTAGCCAATAAGCTCAAGTCATAATAGCCAGGTGAAAATGCGAGGCACCAATGTAAAAGGGTGGGCCTTTTACAAGATGTAAAAAAAAAAGAAAAAAAAAGAGAATGAAGACGGACCAGTTTAGAAAATGTCAGCTTTACCCGGTCCACAGATGCATACAAGGCTAGTTAGCAGCATAGAAAGTTAGCACTGTAGAGAAAGACTTGAAAAATACTTATTTCTGTATGTAAAAACGAATATCTAACTCTTCTTCTCAGCACATTGTAAAAAAGTACAGCTGGTCACAGGAAAAAGGCATCATGGGTAAGAAACACATTTTCTCAGGGTGTGGCTATTGCTGTTCGCAAACAAGCTTTTTGTAGCAGCTGAATGAATAAATGTGAATATATTGAATGTGTTTTTTTGTCAACAATACATTTAAAATGTTCAGAGACAGTATGTTAGTGTTGTGTCAATGTATTTTGTGCATTCGTTCAACTTTTAACATTGCATAATACATGTATTCATTATATAGATTTTAGCAATTAGCACTTAGCATTCATAACCAGCAATCGTTGTGATTATTAGTGTGTTATATCTAGTAAATATGTGTGCGTTTTTTTTATTAATTTTTTTGTCAAACTCTTAGTCACAAGTTGGGACAATAAAATCACAGACTTCCTGCACTTGACTGTGGTGATGTCACATAAAAAACAACCAAAATGGCAGCAGTCAGTAACAAGTAGCATTATATAGCTACTGATTATTGTTTGATATGGCATTCTTTTAAAACCCATGTTATACGTGGTGTGCTTTCCTTGTTCTTTAATAGCCTATATTTCAAGAGCACAAAAAGGAGAATTAATGGAGTGACTACCCTGTTGAAAAAAACAGCATATGCTGGTTAGGTATGTTTTGAAGCTGGGATGCTGGTTTGAGCTGGTTTAAGCTGGTCCTTTGCTGGTTTATGCTGGTCCTTTGCTGGTTTAAGCTGGTCCTTTGCTGGTTTAAGCTGGTCCTTTGCTGGTTTAAGCTGGTCCTTAGCTGGTCCAACCAGCTTAAGACCAGCACATGACCAGCTAAGGACCAGCATAAACCAGCAAAGGACCAGCTCAAACCAGCATCCCAGCTTCAAAACATACCTAACCAGCATATGCTGTTTTTTTCAACAGGGTAAGTATTTTTATTTATTTATTGTAGTCAACAACCACAACAAAACTGCACATCCTTTTTGATGATATGAGAGAGTCTAATGCTGTGTACCAGTTTGCTTATACTTAAATATAAGTATGTACTCTTTTTGTGAAGAAAAGGTGCATACTTCTGAGTGTGTAAAAGAGTAGGCACGTTTTAGGACATACTACTGTCATAATTGGGGTTTTAATGGACCATGCTGTTGTATAGTTACATGCATCCTGTCACAGTAAACTGGCCAGTCAATCATCTTGTCATGGTTAACATCCTTATATACACACTCAACAAGTTGATGTAGTTTAATTTAGCTAGTTAACAATGTGTTTAATTGTGTTTAATAACAAATTTAAAAAAAACTGTGATTTTGCCTTGTAATGTAATGGTGTGCTGTAGTTTATACACATATTTTGAGCTGATTATGTGATGGCATCTTCCAGATAGCTCCACATCAGTGTCAATTGGGATAGCCGTGGCGTTTGGGATCTTGGGATTGTTCGTGCTTCTCTGTTTGGTGCAGATCTGCATCAAGAAAATCAAATGTTGCAACCGCAAAAGTAAGCAGCATCCTCATTCCTGACTAACAAACCAGCATTCATCAAAGTCCTTGAACTAATATACAACAATGCAAGTAAACAGTGAGGAAATTATTATTGTTTTCTTTTCTTTGACAGATCCTTCGGTGAAAGACAAAATTTTAACGTAAGATAACTTACTAATATTTGTTCGTTTATTTGTGTTTGTGTTTATGTGTGGAATAATTTTATTGTTGTTTTTTGTATTTACTTATTTAAATTGTGTGTATCTTAACAGGAAAGTTGGGATTAAGAAATCTTCACCTCTATTTTCAATCAGCAGAATTGTTGACAAGAAATAACGGCCGTCACTGCTCCTATGTCATTCTCACTGCCTATACATAGTGTACATACACCCTGACATAATCTAATTTAGTCCATGTTTTCATTATTTACAACACTTGTAACTGTAATTATTTCCATATTATTATGAAATCTGTCAATTTATTTATTTTTCTTTATTTCTGTGAAAAGTGTGATTCACGTTTCTGAGGTGAAGGTGTTAGTGATGCGGATGTTGATGATTCATATATGGTAAACAAATAATTTTCCCACTGCTAGGGAAAAACAGCACACCTTTATTGCTTTTTGCGATCACTTCTCTTGTTGTCTTTCTCATTCTCTGACATTCTCTGAATTTTGTCACCGTACCAGTCTCACCACAAAAACACGGCGATGCCTTCTTCTCAAGCCAAACTATTTCCACATAAAAATGACATCAAAGGTCATCGTATACCCTAATGAAATATTAATCTCTTCAGTCGCAGTAGAAAGATCACAACATCGTCATTGTGATTAACAAGGAAGTCCTCTCGGGTGATATATTTCCTGTTAAGCAATATTATGTGTGTGATGAAATATGGATCTTGACTCACATATCACAATTTCTAATTTCAAAGGAAAATATGGTCATATTTGATCAGATTTATTAGTCTAGTACAGGGGTAGGCAAGTTCGGTCCTAGAGAGCCGCAGTCCTGCAAAGTTCAGCTCCAACCCTGAAAAAAAAACTCACCTGCCTATAGCCTTAGTAATCCTGAAGACATTGATTAGCTTGTTCAGGTGTGTCTGATTAGGGTTGGAGCTGAACTCTGCAGGACTGCGGCTCTCTAGGACCGAACTTGCCTACCCCTGGTCTAGTATATTATCCTCTATGTGTGTGTGTTGATCTTCAAACTTTTTTTTTATATTTTTTGTTATTTTTCAATTCAACTTTTCACTCAAATTGTACCGTATAGCTATTCAATTTATAAAATGCAAAATAGAAGCATTTTGGAACCCATTAAACATTTTTGTTGTGGTTGATGTTCTTCTTTGGTGATCATTGTATTTTTTTTATTTTTTTTTTATTCGGTTTATGACAGTATCTCACAGCAGCGCACTAAACCGCAAGCCAGACTAAGCTTTATTAGCTGTTCAACTGACGCAGCTCATGCAAACATCTGTAGAGGCTACTTATTTTCTGAGCTGGCATGCAACAAGCAAAGCATTGCGGTGGTCTGTAGGAAGTGAGAGACAGCATAACATTTGAGGTTCAACAGCCTGTTCACCTCAATGACTTTTATGAGACCAGGCCTGTCAGAAACACCTGCTGGTCATGCATTGGTCATTGACTTCCATAGTATGGGAAAAGAAAAAACAAACAAACAAAAAAAACACTATGCAAGTCAATGGGGACCAGGTGAACTATCCCTTTAAAGGAGCACCTAAAAATAAAAATAAAAAATAATTATTGCCATTATATACTCACGTCATGATGTTCAAAAACGTCTCAGGTTACTTATGTAACCATGGTCAGTTCAAAGTTCCCATGAAAGGGAACCATATGCTTTTAATTTTCAGTTGACACAAAGAGACATTTTAATTATCTTTACACTGATGTTTTCCATGCAGTGACACTTCATGGTAAAAACACCACCATATTCACATTTACTGATAGTCTTTATGTTGGCTAATTTCCCCCTCAGAGTAAGAAAAATATGTAATAGCAACTTCATTTCTTGCAATTGTGGCTTTATATATCCCAATGCTAATTTAACTCACATTCAAGACTTTATGTCTCATAACTAAATATTTTTAACTTTATATCTCACTTTATCTTGCAGTCTTCCACAGGAATCTCGCTCATATGGCTTCGGAAGGCTAATCTTATGCTGTCGTATGGCACAGAGAACTACTGAACTACTGTAATGATCATTTATTGTGTTTTTGGTCATTTTTGCAGCTTAAAAGCTGTGGTTCAGCATAAATTCTCTGTTAAACCACTAGATGGCAAGGAAGAAAAGAACATATCAAGGGACATAAAATGAATACTCCTGTCTCCTGACCATATATTGAGGTCTTATGAAGCAAAACGATTGGTCTGTGCAAGAAACTGAACAGTATTTACAATCGTGTGAATTAATTATTCTTTTGAGTCGATTATTTTCGATAAATTGAAATCGATTTGCAAACTTTTCTGAATGATTCAGTTTGATTCACAGGACTGCGCTGTCTCACTGAATCATTTGGAGTGGTTTCTCAGTCAGTAAACAGTAGCGTGAAACTATGGCTGTGTCACATGAATAAGGCACCATTCACAGCAAAATTGTGTTTAATATGACGGTATCTAGCCTATAGACCCCCCCCCTTAAAGCTTCCGCGACTCCTATGTCCTACATCATCCACTAGAACGCCACTCTCTTGTGAACGCACATACGACTCTTAGCGGAAGCTAGAGATTATGGTTTATATAGTTTTAAATATGGATATTTTTCTCACACAAATGCCTCGATTCACCTCAGAAGGCCTTTATTAACCCCCCGGAGTTATGTGGAACACATTTTTATGATGGATTTATGCACTTTATTTTGCTTCAAAATCTTGACCACTATTTTCTGCCATTATAAAGCTTGAAAGAGCCAGGACATTTTATATATATATATATATATAACTCTGCTTGTATTTGTCTGAAAGAAGAAAGTTATATACACCTGGGATAGCTTGAGGATGAGTAATGCTACGTTCAAGCCATATCGTAATTACCGTAATTTCGAGATGACAGCACGTGACGTTCTAGTCAGAGCTGTTCACGTCCTTGGACTCAGAATTATGCTTTTCTATGGCAACACTATCTATGCCTAAACAGAGCCTGCGGTGCTCAGGTGGTACAGCGGTCACGGGGTGCAAGTCGTAGCTTTCAGAAAACTCCCAGTTCACAAGTTGTAATTACGAGTTCTACGAGGACATGAACGGTTTTTACAAGTTGGAATCTCATAATTACCTTTAAGGTTACAATTCATTAATTGGCCAGGTTTCTTATGTATCTTCAGATGAAATTTGCAGTCGCCCCAACCAGCATATAAATTATTTGCACTTAATAACTGGGTTAAATAGATGATGGCCTGATGAAAGTTCTAGTAAATTGTGGGAATGCTATTGTGATGTTTAAGCTTTAGGCAGTTGCGTTCTACAGTTAACTTAATATGGTCAATTGATTCTTTTTGTGAGCAGTCTGAGACCTACAGAGCTACTGAGAAACTACAACTAAAAAAACCGCATTCCTCGTCAGCCCTTCCTACTCACTTCCTGTCTGGTACTCAGCATGAGCCATGCATCAGTCTTTGTCAGAACATTTTGACTTTTTGAATCTTACAAAATCTTACACTGTGAACTACTTTGTTGACTCATTAAAAGTTGATAACAGCGTTGAAACTGTGTAGTAGGGTGCTATTTATTATATCTACATATTAGAGTGGGGCAAACCCTGAGATGATACACTCAAAATCTCTCTGTTCAGTGTCGGTCATGTGTGGCAGATACTATCTGTGAGGGCGGCATAGAAGCTGGGAAACCGCAGTCATGACTAAGCTGATAGCAGTTATTCGCACACTGGGGGAGTGAGATGTCAACTTAACCCACAAAAACTCCACGATTTCCCCATTTTCTTCTAACCTGTAGGCATCTTTTCTTTAAAGGGTGACGCAGACAAACAAATGCAATGTCTGTGGAGTTCACTAGATGAGAAGACTAGGATTTCTGCTACTGTAGAATTTCCAGTGAATGTTTTGAGATCTAGTTCGTTTTAGATATTTTTGAGTTCTAGTTTTTATTTTCTGTTATTCATTATTCTCCATTTGGGTAGTTGGATTGACATGTCAAGCAGTAAAAGTGGTGACATGCTATACATCTAAAACTACTATACATCTAAAACTGCTTTTAATTCTTATAATTATCACAGATAGATTTCTTCATGACTGATTGGCAGCTTTAAGCCGTGACATCAAAGATAGAAAGCATTCTAAAGCACTTCCTGTGTTCTATCTTTGGTATGTCTCAGTTGCTCTGTAGAACTTCAACATAATGTATTAAACTGATTAGTACAGTAAGAACGCAACTGTGTAAAGAGCAAATTAAAGCCCAAATATCATACATTTTTTGACAAAAAAATTCAATTTTTCAATAGGCTTTTTAAAGATTTTTTGTAAGTAATGAGAGTTTAATAATGAGTATATTTGAGAGTATCATGAGAGAATCATTTAGAGAGTTTATTTCATTTTAAATTATTTTTGTATGTAGTGAACGTAGTGATCATCATGATATTATCTGTAAGACACGGTATCAACCAGGGCTCAACAATAAGGACTGCCTGATGGCCCTGGGCCAGTGTGACCCTTGTGACAGTTGACGGTTCTGTCACTGGCTGGATCGGCCCACTGCTCAGTGCGCCTTCTCTCGCACGTGAACGGACAAATACATATAAAATTATGCCAAAATACAAGACATCTTGGGAAGTTTAAACTATGCAAATGCAAGATGATGCGGAAGAGCTCAATTCAGTACTTGCGCGCTGTTTCTATGCGCACAGCAATGCAATGCAATCATTTCCCAAATTGTCATTTGTGTGGAAAATATTACCAAGTCTGTAAACAGTATGTTAACAGAGGCCAGAGACAAGATGCACTGAAGACGGACACGAAGAGGACAAACAGAGAAAATACGGTACCAGACAGAGCAAATTCATTGGTTGCCATGCTCGAAATACTGGAAGAAAATCAGTGCATCCTTAACTGGAATACTGTTAGACCTACCCGAAAAACTTTCAAGGTTCATTTCATTTTTATCTTTGAACTATTCAACAATGAAAACAATAAGTTTAATTGATTGATTGATTGATTGATTGATTGTGGCAAGGCCAGTGAAATTTTTGCCAGGGCAAGTAAAAAAGATTTAACCACTGGTCCAACAAGGCCAGTAGAAATATTCCTTATCATTGAGCCATGTCAACATTATCAAAATCAGTATCATAACACTTGTACACAGATCTGTAGAACAAGTCGGTTACAGAATTACATTTTAAAATTTAAATACAAATAAATAAATAAAATAAAAACTGTACT